TTTCTTTTTCTTTCTTTCTTTCTTTCTTTCTTTTTCAGGATTGGATTATTGCTCCAGAGGGTTATGCTGCATTTTATTGTGATGGAGAATGCTCATTTCCTCTCAACGCTCATATGAATGCTACGAATCATGCGATAGTTCAGACTCTGGTACGTATGCATCCCCAAAAGCCCACCATTAAGTTGGTTTGTGACCAGTTGCATCGACAGAACAAACGCACAGATATCTGGAATTTTAGCTTTGGGAAAATAGGACCTTCTGTATAAAGAAAGAAAAATGATAAACATGGACATTCTGGGGTGCCATTGATTTTCCACCTTTTCCTTTCCTTTCCTTTCCTTTCCTTTCCTTTCCTTTCCTTTCCTTTCCTTTCTTTCTTTCTTTCTTTCTTTCTTTCTTTCTTTCTTTCTTTCTTTCTTTCTTTCTTTCTTTCTTTCTTTCTTTCTTTCTTTCTTTCTTTCTTTCTTTCTTTCTTTTCTTTTTTGGATAGACCCTTTCTCTCCATGGCAGTTTAACAATACAAAGGCAAGAACATATCCAGGCATAGACATATTCCAGAAATAGAACTATTCTGTACTAATGGTTCACTTCAAGAAGAAGCAAAAACAAAGAATTTAATTTTTTTTAAAAGACCGTAAATAGTCTTGAACCAATAAGTGACCTCAACACATTCTTTTATTTCCTCAGCTATACTTACTGGATCAAACTGTATGCCCAGTCGTGTGACACAGCAAGTAGGAGCTTTGTGGCTCTAAAATGTTCTTTACCCAGCACTCATCTGTAAACTCCATAATATGGAGCAGGCAGGATACAATCTTTCACTTAGTTTGCATAACAGTTTTGAGGTTCAAGAGATAATACCGGGGCCCTGTATCATCTTATGAGGACACACAAAACTTTTACTTAATTGGCTGCCCTCACCTATCCAGCAGTTCAGGCCGCTGAGAAATATAAAATAACCGAAGAATTCCCAACTATTTATGACTTACAACAGAACCCATTTCTTTTTATGAGGGAGAGCTTAGATAACTTTATAATATGGGCAAGATATGTCTTGAGTTGGAGCAACTAGGAATTAATTCCCCAGTATATGTTGTAGTAGAAAAATAACAGTATATGTCTTTCAGAAATCAGAATTTACAGGCATTATAGGTGCTTCCAGAGGGACCATTCCTCACTCTACACTATCATTGCTGTTTCGCTGTAAGCTGTGAATGAGAATAGCAACAATTTCCACACATGGTGTATATTAATACATTATCTCACTTTGCAGACATAACATAGAATCTACATCAACTTCTCTTGTCAGACAGGAAATTAAGTATCACTTTAGCTAACACTCTAAGAAATAAAATGGATGAATGAGTTTGCTATTTTCATATAGGCACAATGTTGCAAACAATACACAGATTTGCGCAACCCGACTATTTCCATAGAGGTTTGTAAGTTTCTAGGATTCACTTGAATTTATGCCATTTTTGAAAGATGCAGTTTATGTGTTATGCATGTGCCCCCACTTCACCCCTCTTCCTCAGCACCGGATCAGAATGCTCCTAGCTGACTCCTACATAGCCTTGGAATGGACTTGAATTTTCGGAGTTGGCAATTTATAAGCCGGTGGATCACTTTGGTCCAAAGTATTCCTTCTGAAATTGTAGTCCTTGTTAAACATATCTAATCAACCACAGTAAAAATTTTAATCAACTAGAATAATATGAGCATGAGGTAATAATACCATATGGTTGTAAACACCTAATATCGCAAATGCACAGGTTCCCATTTTAACCTATAAACAAGCTGAACGTATGTGTTACAAGCTGAGAGAAGTTGTGCTCTGAGTACATTAGCTTTATAACTTTGGAGGCACCCCATCCTGGGAAATATTAGTATTCTTTCCATCTTCGGTATATAATGGCTGATAAATTATCAAATGAATCTTATCCTTTCCACCGGCTCCAATAGCAGACACTAAACAATAAAAATGGCAAAACCTATTCTCAACCTTTTTCTTTGCAGGTATTAAACAAACATGCTTAAACCATTATTAGGTTGTGGGGTGTATGTGTTTTTAGCTATTTATGATGGTTCCGAAAAGATCTCTTTCATGGTAAATGATCTCTTCGTGGTAACAGTTACATAAAAGCTGTTTCCCCGATCGCCTCTTTTTTGTGTTCTCTGGCAAAGACAGAAGGTTTATATCACTGCTGGGCAGATGCCTGTAACAGAGTTTTAACAGTCTTACCAAACAAATGAAACTTATTACTGCACGCTTTAATAATCTTTTGCCTTTTCTATTACTGCTCCTTCCTCCATGGCCTTCTCACTTTCCTGCATGTGCAGAATATTATTTCTAACTTGCTTTCAAGTACAAAGACCCCAATTTCCCTCTTCTCCAGTGTTTCCACTACATTCCTGTTCTTTTCAGGAAGCTGTTAAACACTGTAACCCTTATGATCATCCGAATCTTCTTCTTTTTCCTCCTCCTCCTCCTCCTCCTCCCCAGATTCCTCCCTGCTTCTTTCAGTATCTAGGAGTGTAGCCCTAAATACTGAAATGTGGTATTTCCTCAAGATAGTTCTCGTAAGGATTCCCACAAGGAGAGTACCAAAATACAGATAGATGTGCCAGCCCATATCTGTGTGTGTTTGTGTCTATACACAAAGTGCACAACAGCATATTGTTCCTGGGGAAAACTGACCTGCTCTCCTAAAATTGTGAGATTTTCTGCAAAGCTCACAGAGGACAGGGAGGTTGCGAATTAAGTGGGAGTCCCTATTAGTCCAAGAAACTCAGCACTGCAATCCTGTGATAACACTGGTAAAATTCATGGAGTATCATGGTCTGTCCTCATACTAATGGTAGGAATTATATCAGGCCAAAGGAGCCTGTGTGGTGTAAGTGGGTAGAATGACAGATTGAGACTCAAAATATCTGGATTCGGATCCCTGGTCATCCATGGAAACTCACTGAATGGAACTAATAAAACCACTCCTTAAATATCTCATACACTTGGAAGCCCTATTAAGATCACTGTAAATTTAATGTAACTTGATGGCACAGAACAAACAAACAAAATAACGGATGATGACTTATTCCAGGCCATGCACCTTGAATATGGCTGAGCAAGGACTGGATTCCAGGTCCCCATTTGGTCAGCTGTCCCATAGCTACTGCATAACATTATATAACCCAAGAGATTTAAACAAGTGTTTACTATATTAACAGGTTGTTCTGGCTATTATTTTAAAAGCTGGAGTCCACACAATCATTTGCTTGAAGTGTTACCCTTTGTAACGTTATTCATAGCTGACAAAATGGGTGTCTAGTCCATGAAAGCTTAAGCCACAGTTGCCAGAATCCTGTTGCTTAGTGAGGTATACTACAGCAGGCCCATTGATTCAATGAGGATTTGGCAAGTTAACTCCCCTCTAAGTCAGATTGATTCAAATGGGCCTAGTCTAGTTGAGACTTACTTTAGCATAGTAAGTTGCAGTTAAAGTCCACTTGAATGAATGTAATTTATAAAGGAGGTGACTCACCAAATCTTCATTGATTCTTCTCTAGTGTGATTTAGTAAGCTAAGCAACAGGATTTGGGCCACTAAATATATTAGCCTTTAAAGAACCACATGACTATCTTTTGCTACTGTCTTAATTTTATTAGTAATATATTTTTATACCATGCTCTTTTTAGAATATCATGAAACAAAATAATTTTAGCAGTGTACTTGTTAGTAGAAGTAGACAATTTATGTGTTATTGCTAGAAATAATTATATGAGTGAAAGCAAACATTTTCTTCTTTTCTTCCTTCTCTCTCCACTGTTCCAGGTCCATCTGATGTTCCCTGATCATGTTCCTAAGCCGTGCTGTGCCCCCACCAAGTTGAATGCAATCTCTGTCCTCTACTTTGATGACAGTTCAAATGTGATTTTGAAAAAATACAGAAACATGGTGGTCCGATCGTGTGGCTGCCACTAGAATCAGTTTGTAAATCAGAAGATCTTCAAGACCAAGAATTTACTAGACCTGCACTCACACACACACAAATGGCCTCCCAGAGTTGTCTTTTTCATTTGTGAGCAGAGAAACTGGAACCATTTCACAGGATTCCTCCAAAAGAAGGAGAAATTACCGACAGTTCTTTTGGGATGGGGCTACTATTAGCAGCAACAGGGGCACAGTTTATTTCTCTGTTCCCCACCCTTATTTTAATCTACAAAAGCAAAAGTGCTGGTAGCCTGGCAACCATTTTGAATCGCCCACAGAGCCTCAGGCTTAGCATCATTCTGAGGCATGGGGAGGTGTGTGTGTGGAAATCTTAGCTGCCACCCCCCCCCCCAAAAGTGGAAAATATTCGGAAATTGTTAACTTCTTTCTCTGGACTGAGAAGAAGAAACATTTTAGAATTTTCCTTAGAAATAATACTTTGGAGAAATTTCAGCTGTATTTTGAATTATGTAGTATAAGTGAGAGATTGCATCCCCACTTTTAACTTTTTTTCAGAAAAGCAAAGAGACTCCTATCTCAGTGTATGCCATTTTGTATTTCATGTACAGTATTATGTACATAGTAGCTTTTATTTATTTAAAGATATATAGTTTCTTTTGTTTGGATGACATTTCAAATGCTTTATTAATATGGGTTTATCTTAGAGTCTAGTAGAACATTGAAGACAGATTTTCAGTTAATCACGCTGTGATTCATTTCATTTTTTTTCAAAATAAAGCCTTTGTATAGTGTTCTCTTTCTTTTTAAACTCAGAAACCCCAGAACTCCTGTGACTGTTTTATATTGTTAAAGGAAATTAAATACATTTGGCTACGTTGTGCCAATGAAAACTCTGGCCGGCTATTTATTTAGAAAAGGCACTGAGAAAGGGCTGGAAAAAGATTGCTTAGCTAAACACAATTGCCATTTTTAAAAGTTCTCCTCCACTAGATAAAGTAAGAAGTTAAATTGCATTTAAATAAATAAATGTTAGCTTAAAGGTAGAGGCTGAAAGATTGCACATAATGGTGAGAGCTGTTTTCTCTAGCATAATACGTGTAACTGTAGGAGCCATGCTCCTTTGCTAGAGAGTTGCAGATTTTGCTGGAGGCAGGAAGCTTCTGGAGTTCTGTGGTAACCGCATATCGCCTGTGGGCCCAGAACTTTCCAAGTGAACCATTTGGGATGGGGAGGGATGGGAAATAACAGTACAACCTTCTTACCTCAGTAAGGAAAAGCAGTTGGTCTCTTATCTCAAACACTACTGCCATGGATTTTGTTTGCCTTTACAGAACAAACCCATGAGCCAGCCTCCCTTCTGGATAAGAGTGTATGAAACGGAGCATAAAGAGAGCCTAACCATCTCAAACAGTTCTCACAGAGTATTATTTCAGTCTGCTTACCTCTTGGATCACTTAACTGGTCCATTGTCTGCATGCCTGCTCAGATGTAAGCCCTGCTTCATTCAACGGGGCCACCTCCCATACCGATGTATGTTGGAGTCAGCCGCATTGAAAACCAAGGGCCTTCGTTCTGAATAAACTTGTTTAGATTTACATTGCATATCCTTCCTTTTGGCATTATTTAAGAAGAAATATGCATGGGGGGGATGGCGATGTGGGAGAACTGCAGATGGTAGGAGAATAATGTGGTCAGCTGTATGTCATTTTTAAAAAAATATTTAATTTATCTCACTGCTGAATAATATCTGAAACAGATGTTATATTTTTTAATCTTCTAAAATCTGTTGCCGTACTAAAAACCATGTCTGGCAGATATCTTTTTGAAGAAAAAAAATGCATTTCTGTTGCTTTTAACTATGTTTAACTTACCATAAAGCCTTAGTTAAACTGCAGTTCATGTACTGTAATGTCTATTAATACAGATATCTAGCTGAATTGCTGTTTTGAGGAGCATCTGAGGAATTATGAAAGTCTACTCCTGTAAAAGTCTGTGCCAATTAATGTGGGAAAGATTTTTAAAGGAAATGAATTTGTTTGTGATTTAGATAGGTCGAAGGTCATGGTGTTTGGGATGGGATTTATTTTAATTAAAGTTTGAAAAATGTATTTTTGGGTACATTAAATAATATATTTTTAAAATAAAGGTGTACCATTTTGAGTGTATGAAATTGAAGATTATATTATTCTTTGAAATGTTCTTTGAAATACAAGTCTATATTTTAAGATCTAATAAACCTGAAAACTGAACGTGTTCTCTGATGCCTTTCCTTTTTGGACTGTATTATATGGAAACATTCTGTTCACTTTAATCTGAATATGAATAGCCTATTATTATACACAGGACTGGATCCAGAGTTTTTCTTCCTTTCATAGAAGGAGCCTTCCATTCGTAATGCAGGTGTTCTGGGAGCAAATCAACATTTTGATTTCTAAATAATTACCTTTTGGAAGGTTTTTTTGGGGGGGGGAGGCAGCATCAGCATCTTTTCAGGCTGAATGGGCTTTCTACAGATCCTTTGCGCACACAGAGAGAGAAGGTTAAACTTTATGAAGGGTCCCTCAACATTCTAGCATTCTAAGCCCATGCAAATTATATCAGCAGTGAAAATCTATTCTTCAACAAGGACAGACGAACCAAGTTCTTGCATGCATTACCAAGGCTATCTTTGCTGCTGTTTGGAAGGGTAGAAAACTGGCACAATGATTTTCACATGCCGAAAAGGCTTGTATTTCTATATACCACTGGGAATTCAGCTGCACATGCATCCAGGCATACCTCTTTCTCACAGTAGCTAATAAAACACTTTCCATGTGTCTGTCAATTTGAAAAATACTTGTATAACATTTCCTTACAAGTCAGTGGCCAGGGTGGTTACATTGCCATGCGAGATCTGTAAGAATGTTTTTTTGGGTCCACTTTTAATCAGGTTAAGCTTTCTAGCTCCTTAGAGACCATGGTGGATTCCTGTCCTAATTATATTCCCAAGTATGCAACAAAGCACAGGGAAATACAACCCACTGTTTCAGAGCTTGCTGTACTTTTCAAATACTGCTCCTAATGTGTTTCAATTAATGTATCTTAAATCTCATTTTGTAACTAACATGGCAGCTTACTGCTTTGCCTACGTAGTATTAAATCTCCTATATTTCTTGAGGCAATCGGTGTGGGACACTTGACCCACTGTATGAAATTATTCAGCAAAGTAGAGCTCAAAGCAGCTTTTGATAGCTTTCTGTAGCTTCCTAGAATCTCATGAAAAGAGATGTTAAGTATATATCTTCGCCTTTGCATCCATATACCTGGGGATATGAATATGAGGCCCTCTCCCCGGAATCGGCCACTCCACTCACCGGTTGCCACACAGTGCTTGGATCCTTCGTCGTTGTCATTGCACCAATTTGAGAAGGAGCCTGGCCACCACTTCTCCGCCTCCCTGCACAGCCGACCACTCCAGCGAAGAGGTGTGACAGGAAGTCTCCCTGCTCAGCTTGATGCGTGGTCAGCTGCGGAGGCAGGGAAGCAGTGGCCAAGCTCCTTCCGTGATTGTTGCAACCACAACCACAATGAAGCCAAGCATCACGTGACATACTGTGAGTGGACCGGCTGGTTCTAGAGGGAGGGAATGGTGGGCCCCCATAGCACCTGCGGTGTCATGATTTGTATTTGTATCCCCAGGAATACTTGTCTGCTTACAACTCTAATACAATAGATCAAAAGTAGACGGTCATGTCCATTCTTACCTAAAATCAGTAGCTACTTTTTGGGGGACTATATCTCCCAGAATCCTGCACCCCACATGGAAGGTTTTAGTTAGTGCAATATTTAAGCCCAACACCCACTGTATAGTCTTTCACTTTTTTCCTTGCTTTTTGAGGCAGTGAATTCTGGTGACAGGGAATACAAAAGTGTGGATGACATGGAAAAGGGTACTTGGTCCTGGGTCTCCAGTGACACAGACTTACACTTGATAATCTTTTAAAAACTCCTTTATTGCTGCCCTTCCGAATCTCAGACTTCTAATTTCTTGGCTGCAGTCTCCATGTGCTTTCTCTTATAGCCACCATTTTTCTTCTTTTCATTTGTTTTAATCAGAGAGGTCCAGGTTTTTTCCTCTGCAATAAAAACAGCAGGAATAAAAATGCTTCTTCTTCTTCACTACAATGCAATTGCATGTTTTTTTTAAGGTAACAACAAATTGCAAAGTTGTTAAAATAATAGAAAGGACTGGTTTCAATATAGCAATGGCTGGCAAGGAATGTGTCCGGGGAGCAATCTGCCCTAGCTAGTAACATCAGTCCTATTGAGCAGGTGATGCTGTACAACAGGATACTGGCTAATAGCTTTAAAACACTTTATTTCAAGTGTAAACCAGTTAAGCAGACTTCTGTCCTTATCCTCTTTCTTTACAGAGTTCCCCCATGGTGAAGAACAATCAGCCCTACATTTCAAGCACCACACAGCTTGTTCACCATCTTCCCCAAAACACACACCAAGTTTTGCAGGAGTCAGGCATTGGAGCCTCAAGAGATTATGGTATCGTGCTCTGTATGGAGGACTTGGAACAGCGTCTAGTGTGGTTGAGAAGGCCAATTCAAGAGTGACAATCCCTTCCACACTGCAGACAAATACAGTCTGTCCCTGTCCAGCTCCTTGATTTTGCTGGTTTCGGGACTGCCTCTTTGCCTCGGCCTGCTGGACAAGTGTCTCTTCAAAATGGGAGAGGCCATGATGCACCGCCTGCCTCCAGGCTGAACACTCCGGCATACGATCTATACATTTTGGTTTAGGGTGAGAAGTGTCTGTTCAGTGGTGGGACCCAACTGAAGACATGAGAACTGGCCCTAAACTAGTGCAGGATGGACTAAGAGAGGGTGCTTTGTGAGCCTGACACCTTTGTATGAAGCTGTCCATGCCACACCATAGCTGCCTTGTGGACCTTACCTGTAATTGCACATTACCAGGGTCCTTCTGCTCCTGTGGTGTACCAATCTGGGCAAGAGCTTGGGTGCCTGTCCCTGCCTCCTCCAGCAGCCGACCACTCCGTCAAAGAGGTGAGAAAGGGATTCTCCTCATGCAGCTGATGAGTGGTCCCCCAAGCTCCTGCCCAAATTGGTGTGCCTCTGGAGTACCTGTCATCACCTGGCAGTGCATGATGACAAGTAAGCGGCCCAGCCGGCCCAGGGAGAGTGGCGAGAAGTTCCGCATGGCAGCTATGTGTGCTGCTGACCATGGATGTCGGATGCTCTTGTCGTTATTTTATCATAAGATGCATGGCCATTCTTTACCATGCAAGATTTATGTACATCAGGCTGAATTAATACTGCGCTTGGGGCAATACATCCACACTCAGTGTTGGGTCACCATTAGCAATTTTAAGGATGAGATTCTTTTGGATTACAAAATTTATAATTCTCCATTCTGGGAGTTCTGACAGACGGATGTCTAATATGGCTCATATGGGAGAAAGTCCTAAACTTCAAGTCTCTGAGGCCTAGCTAACCTAGTTCAATCTAACTTTTTGTTCAAAAAGCAAATCCCCAGCTAGCACCAGAGCAGGAACTGGCCACTTGGGCATAGCTGAGGTGTTGATTTTAACTTTTAAAGTCCTAAACAGGTGAGCTCCTGGATGCCTAAAAACCTGCTTCTCCCTCTCTCTCTCTCTCTCTCTCTCTCTCTGAATTTCTCTGTAGTTATTGAGTTCTACAGATGAAGGCACAGGTTGGGAATATCAAAAGGATATTCTTGTGCTACTCCTTAGCTTATGGACACACAACTTGCAGAATCACTGAGCTATAATAGTCTAATTGAAATATTATTTTACTTTTCTTGTGAACTGTAACATTGGCTTTTTGTCAGTATAGAACTAATTGTGTTTTTGTAAGCTTTGTGTAACTTACCGCAGCTAATTGTGGCTAATTGATGAGGTGTAGGGGAACATCTCTGTTGTGCAATTAGGTACATGAGCAGGCACGCTACTCAGATGTGTCCCAGCACCTAGTCAATTATCCACAGCAACATATGCTAATTTTACATGAACATCAGAAGGAATCTGGCCAATAATGGGTAATTTTTCTTCTTTTTTTAAAAAATTGGCCCTTAGTGTGTCATACATAGTGTGCTGCAATATCCAGAACAAAGTGTTGGCTTCCCACTGCTCTCCAGGTAGTCTTTAGAGACTGATGCAGCTTACTTTTATTCCACTGTGCATGCTATCTGTTTTATGATTTAAGGCTAACAGCTCTCCTAGGGACCCGCTTTTGCCCAGTCTCTGCTCATGAAACAGAACAAAGGCTGTGCCTGCCAAAAAAGTCACTTTTTTTCTCTTGTCAGGTATGGCTTCCAAATGCCTGTTTTCTTACTTTTTCTCTCTCCCTTTGGACCTATTAGAGAAGCTTGTTTGGATTTGCTATCCAGATATACATCAGCTTCTAGAGCTTGGGTTGGGCTCATGTGCATAACATGTTATATTCACTTGCTATGATTGCCATGGACCTATTGAAACATTAAACAGTTACGGTGCAGGTAACCAGCTGAAGCATGGCCACACAGAAGGGCCAACCCCAAATAACTGAATGGATTCAGCCTGGGATCGAGGCTCTGTTTCCCATCAAGTGCTGTTCTTATGTGCCATCAAATTGCTTTCAACTCACAGTGACCCTAATAGGGTTTTTGTGAAATCTGCAAAGAGTCGTTTTACTGGTGCCACCCCCCGCTGAATTTTCTTGGTCAAGTGGGGATTTGAGTCCTCAGGTTTTCTGAGTTCTCACTGAACGTTCTGTTACACAAGAGTGACTCATGTATGTATGTATGTATGTATGTACAGTGGTGCCTCACATTACGACGTTAATTCGTTCCAACGAAATCGCTGTAGAACAAAAACGTTGTAATGTAAAAATAAAAAGCCCATTGAAACGCATTGAAACCCCTTCAATGCGTTCCAATGGGCTGGAAACTCACCGTCCAGCGAATATCCTCCATAGGGTGGCCATTTTCGATGGCTGTCTTGCGAGGAATCCATCCCAGAAAACAGTGGGGAGCCATTTTGTTTACCCGGTGGCCATTTTGAAACTGCCGATCAGCTGTCCGAAAATCATAGTTTTCCGAAGAATCAGTTCCTGAAGCAGGGAACCGATCATCGCAAAGCAAAAAACTCCTATTCAGA